ATATATATATATATATGATGTGATACAAGACTGGGTTGTACAACATCTTTTCAGTTACACGGTAAAGGACAGGTGAAAAGTGGAGGCCTGTGGAGCAAAATGTCGAAGTTGAAATGTGCTTGAAATGATTATTTCTTTTCCCTTTCAGCTCATGCAGAACTCCACAGTGGTGAAAACATAAATAAAGATGGTTTTATTTTCTCTCTACTCCTGCTGTCCCCAGCAGAAGGCAGCATTTCACCAAACCCGAGCCTGGGTAGACTGGACGAACAAGGAAGTGCACAAAACAGCATTCCATTTGTTCGTTGTCAAAGACGAAGAATCAAGAATCAAATGAAGAATCAAATCACAGCTGGAGTGAGTTTCTGTCTGAAGGATTGATTCTGTGGTTGGTTGGAAGTCTGTGAAGTGAGACGAGGTGAGTGCAGAAGCTGTTATTCCTGTTGATTATCAAAAGAGTTTAGTTTAGTATTAGAGTATATTTAAGCAGTATTTATTCAGTAATACATTCCAGAAATTCTGCATCCTCTCATGTGGTCTAAACCGTTTCCTGCCTGAGCTAGATTTTCTAGTTTTTGAAAGTCTGTGGCTGATGTCTTTGGTGAATCATAGTTGTCTTTGTAAACCCTTTGTCAGTGCGTGGACATGGCTACTGATGCTGATGCTGCTGCTGCTGCTGCTGCCGCCGCTGCAAACCTCAGATCTGAAGAACATTACTTGTGCTCCATCTGCCTGGATGTGTTCAGAGATCCAGTCTCTACACCGTGTGGCCACAACTTCTGTAAACGCTGCATCACTAAACACTGGAATACTAACGTGATGTTCAATTGTCCCATGTGTAAGGAGGTGTTCAGCACGAGACCCCAGCTGAAGGTCAACACTTTCATCTCTGAGATGGTTGTTCAGTTCAGAAATGAAAGCCAACAAGTTTCCAAAGTACCACAAGAGGTTCTCTGTGATGCCTGCACTGGAGCCAAGGTTAAGGCTCTGAAGTCCTGCCTGGTGTGTCTCACCTCCTACTGTGAGTCTCACCTGGAGCCTCACCTGACAGCACCTCGTCTGAAGAAACATCAGCTCATCGAACCCGTGGGGACGCTGGAAGATAAGATGTGCACAACACACGAAAAACCTCTGGAGCTGTTCTGTAAGACCGACCAGACGTGCATCTGCTCGCTCTGTCCTGTTTTAAATCACAAGGCTCACGAGTTTGTTCCTCTGGAGGAGGAATATGAAGGAAAGAAGGAAGAGCTGAAGCTAACTGAGGCCGCCATTCAGACCATGATCCAGGAGAGATGGACTAAGATTGAGGACATCAAACGCTCCGTGAAGATGACTCAGGATGAGGCGACCAAAGAGAAAGCAGAAGGTGTTCAGGTCTTCACTGCTCTGAAGGAGTACGTGGACAGAGGCCTGAACGAGCTCATCCGGGAAATTGAGGAAAAACAGCAGGCAGCAGAGGAACGGGCTGAGGATAACGTCAAAAGACTGGAAGATGAAATCTGTGAGCTGAAGAAGCGGGGCACTGAGGTTGAGCAGCTGTCGCTCTCTGAAGACCACCTCCACCTCCTACAGAACTTCCCATCCTTTAAAGATGCTCCTTCTACCGAGGACTGGACAGAGGTTCGGGTCCCTCCACCATCGTACGAGGGCACGGTGATGAGAGCGATGGCTCGGCTGGAGGAGACTCTCAGAAAGCAGATGAAAGCACTGAAGGAGTCAGGGCTTAGGCATGTTCAAGGGTTCGCGGTGGATCTGACCTTTGATCCCGACACGGCAAATCCTGCCCTTATTTTGTCGGATGATGGGAAACAAGTTTACTGTGGTGATATAAAGAAGAAACTTCCAGACAACCCAGAGAGGTTTTCTCCATGTGTCTATGTCTTGGGAAAGCAGAGTTTTTCCTCAGGTAAATTCTACTTTGAGGTTCAGGTTAAAGGAAAAACGGCCTGGGATCTGGGCGTGGCCAGGGAGTCCATCAACAGGAAGGGAAACATAACTCTTCGACCTCAGGCAGGTTCGTGGACCATCAGGTTGATAAATGGAATTGAGTACATTGCTCTTTCCAGTCCCTCCGTCCGCCTCTCTCTGACCTCTCCTCTTGAGAAGGTCGGGGTGTTTGTGGATTATGAAGAGGGTCTGGTCTCTTTTTATGACGTCAACTCTGCAGCTCTGTTCTATTCCTTTACTGGTTGCTCTTTTGCTAACAAACTCCGCCCTTTCTTCAGTCCCTGTAATAAGGACGGTGGCAAAAACGCAGCGCCTTTAGTCATCTGTCCTGTCAATCAAGCTACTGATCTTTGAAGTAATCAACCAACAATGTTGGGATCTGGTCTGGTTGGTTTAGTCAAATGTGGTTTCTTGCATCAGAATTGTCAGGTTGCTACACGGTTAAATTATGTGTAAGTAGTCCTTTAACATTTAAGTATCACTGTGTAAGAAAGAACAGACACGTACTTTAAATACTTGTGTCATAAATCTTTGTAGTCTTCAGTAAAAAAAAGAATTTGTCATATGGGCTGTGGGCTGCAACGGGAGTTTGGTTCAGGGTGAAAAGAAAGTGTGTATTTTCCTAATTGGTACTAGTATTCTGGGTCAGCTGGCATTAAAATGAACATTTAATAAATCAACTTCTTTGTTCTGTGGTTTGTATTTCCTTTATTCATTGTTACTTATTTATGCTCTCTCTCCAACATGAGAATCTTGTTGTGAAATTAAAGTTGTTGTTTTTTTTTGTGTTTTTTTTTGAGCTCTTATTGAGGTTGGAGTTAAGTAGTTCCTTTGTGGTATTGAGGGAAACATTAGTAAGTCCAAAGTTACAAAAACATACACCTGAGCCTGTGATGAAGTCGGCAGTTGATCAACATCAACAAGTATTTTACAATTTCTATGGACTTAGTTGTAGGTGAGTAAATGAATTCCACTGTCTTAATGCCCGTGCTGGGAACATACATGTTTTTCAACCTGTACAAGACTCAAGATTTTGTTGTTGTGAACTCCTTAGGTCTGGTATTAGGTAAAGCTTCATTAGAAAACAGTATGGAATCAACACACCTGGGAATGATTGTGCCTTTAAGATTTTTCCAGAACAATTATTAAAGGTGTGGCAGACAAACTAGACTCGCAAGTCAGCACCTTCACTTATGAATGTCATAAATGAATGTCACATCCACGTGAGTGTAACCTCAGGTAATCTTTACTGGGTCCCAAGGATAAAGGTGTGTTACTTAGCATGTCGATCTTGGTAATCTCCACTACAGTGCCCCCTGGAGGGTGTGACCTGGACTATGGACGAAAGCCTTGGGTCTTGATAAAAGGAGAGGGTTACAGACAGGCGATAAATAGTATTAGATTCTAACACAAAACAGGATAATAATAAACTAGCTTAACAAAACTTTTATAAAAAAATGAGTAGAAGTTTCACCAAAAGTTTAATATAATTCAATCGAAAAAACATAATTTGCTCGGAAATAATTCGGGGGACCTAAAAAATGATGCACCATTTGGAAACCAGCGCCAACACGAGATTTCCGGTTTTTAAAGAAAAGTTTTTTGCGAGAGCGTACTTAAATGGGCACAACGGTTGACAGATATGGGTAAGTGTCAGCGAAATTAACTTGAACATTTCCACATGATACACATGAAAGTTCCCAACTGTGAGTAATGTAAAACTGAGTTCGTTGTTTTAGAGACTAAAATGGCTGAATGAAGTTCATACAGAGACGGTGCAGTTGAGTGTGCGGTTCCCATAAAATGGCGCCATTTAGTAAAAGCGACCTCTACGAGATGGAAACAACAAAATGTTTTAATTTAACTTCGGTCAAGAGAGAGAGAGATCATCAAAACCCCCAAAACCTATAATAAACCTAGACGCAGATGCGATTTGTCAAACAAACGGCTAAATGTTTGGCGAAAACAGTTAATACTCGCTCCAGATAATAAAAAGTTGTTTGGAACCTGGGAAATAATAGTTAGCTGCAATATCTCTTGAAACAATACTAAAAAAAGGTTGACAAAACGGAACGATTTTAAAATCATCAATTAAATTACTAAACTAAAAAAAGAAACTCAAGATAGAAACCCCCAATTCTTTCCAAAGGTTAGCAAAACAAAAACAAATTTGGTTTAAAAAAAGACCAGGTATACAGCTCACAACAGCTCTAAATACATTAAAAAACTGTACGTAAGTAGTCAAAAAACACGTAAAAACCAAAAAATGTATAATACATTAAAAAACTGTACGTAAGTAGCCAAAAAACACGTAAAAAAAAAGTTACTAACTACTTTTAATATATTTAATCTATCTGCTGTAACATATTTAAACATTAGCATTTCAACTTTATTATTAATGTCAACAGAATAAAATCTTAGAGGTGCTCTAAACCCGACATGTCCACTTTGGCCTTGACAAACAGTGTGTCGTCTCTGACATAGATGGCGTTCTTTCCTGCTTCCAGCTGATTAAGGGGACAAAAGCAGGAAAACCCAACTGCTAGGTTACCGACAGACTTGGGGTCGGGTCGGAAGAAGCTTCTGGATGCAGGATCTGGCCTGAAGCTGAGGCTGTGGTGGTTTCTGGCACCGCTTTGATCGAGGATGGACAGGGACACGGTTTGTCTAAAAGGCCACAGCAACAGCTCGTCAAAGTCTCCAGGCATCAGGACCACATAAAGTGACAGGTGAGTTCCTCTGCCCTCACCATCTCCATTCAGGTAGACTTTGATGGCCATTTTGTAGCCACAGCGGCCAACGTGGAAAGGCACACTGCTCAGACACGACAGGTCTTCTGTGTTCCTCCTCTTCCTGAAGTTCTGGATCTTCCAGATCAACCTGCCGTCATAAGACAGTGCCTCGAGCTCTTGCAGCCGTTGCTGGTTAAGATATAACTGAGTGGCGTGGAGATCTAGAAGCCCTAGCTGACGTTTGAGATTCTTCTCAACATTTCCTGCAAAGAAAAAATAAATTATAGTAAAGACGTTTTTGAAATGCTTCCAGGAAAGTGTGTACAATTTTTGCAGAAAACCAACGTAACGTTGGTTTTCTGCCTAAATTTTGTGAAAGACTCATGGAGCATTTTTAGATAAAAAAAAATAACCACTAGTCTTATAATACCGTTGTGTTTGTTATATATGTGATTTATATTGCCTGATAATTCTCTAGTATTAGATGTGTGTGTTAACAGTTCAAAACAGGAATTTCCTGTTGCCTTTTGAATGTTGTGCCTCTTGTTTTGGTTCTGAGACATTGGTTTTGACTTCAGGTGTTTGTTTGTTTTTTGTTACCCAAATGTTCTTTGATGGCTTCTGCTGTCGACACTTCCTGCATCACACTGTTTACAGACTGTTTTAGCTGCTCCAGCTCCATCACGTCAGGAAGTCCTCGAGACACCTGCTGGACGTCCAGGTTGATAGTGGACAAGATGTCGTCCTGCCTGCTCAGTGTCCTCTGACACACAGACATCAGTGACAGTGGTTTCAAATTAATACGAGGAATGTTGTTTTGAAAAAGTTTCCAGTAGTGAAGATAAATGGACTAAATACCTGAGTTGTAAAGAGGCTGTTCTTTTGGCAGCTGCTTGGTTGCATTGTTTCCTCCAGGCCATTGAGGAGTAAACTGTCATTCTGAACCTCATACTGCTTCAGGAGCGCCTCCCTCTGGAGATCCTCGACCTGACACAGACACACAGTTGTGAATAGTGATTGCATTTTTTTTAGTGTTTAATCAAAAATGGTCAAGTCAGAAGGTGATGAACTGTTTTCTTATGTCATTAGACTTAAGCTGTGTTTGCCAGAAATAGTCCCAGGGGTTTTAATAGGTGATGAAGTTTGTGTAGACCTGTTCTTCCAGGTCCATGCTGCTCTTTAGGACCAGCATCATGTGATGATGGACAGCCGTTTCTTCATGCAGCTTCATGTTGCATCGTTTACCCTAATGGGCAGAAGACGATAACTCTAGGCTCCAGTATGTTAGAAGTGCAGAAATGAGTTGAGCAGACAGTGGGCACACCTGTAAGGAGCAGCCAAACGTCTTGTAGAAACAGTCTACGTGGACCTCAGGACAAGACTCTTTATGATCCGTCAGCTGAAACAGAAAATGTGCAAAGAAGAATATTATATAAGAACAAAAAAAGCCTTAAAAAAGTTTGCTGTAGTGCTGGAAATCATGGTCTAAACTTTGACACAGAACCATCCAGTTCTACAGTTGTAGCAGAAATACAGAACTTCAGTACAATTATCAACAGACAACAGGATGACCCAGAACCCAGAACACCTCCAGAACCCATACCTGGTGTAAACTTCAACCAAAGCCAACCCTTTCTGACCCACCGTGAGCTCACCTTGTGTCTGGGAATCCTTTGGGAGCAGTTATCGCGACACTCCACCTCCACATCTGGACAAGAGCTGTGCACATGATCCTAGGTGGAACAAACAAAACTGATCAAAGACTCAAAGTTGGAAAACTGTTTGCTTTTCACACGTGGAAGACCAGGCCCTGTGCTGTTTTCCTCTAAACTTTGGTGACCTTTTCAAATCAACAAGGACTTCCTTCAGATCTTTACAATAGTTCTTTGTTTTGGGTCATATTTAGGTTCCTGTTTCATCATTGCTCTGGAACAGAAACTGTGTCGGAGCTGAAGCACTTTGAAAGGACAGCGAGGGATGTTGAAGTTATGGCGTTCATCTGCACCTGCAGGACCCTGGAATGCTGCGGTTGTCCACGGTGTGAGAACGAGTCCACGCGGTAAC